AAAAGAGCGAGGCAAAAGAGACAGAATCCTGTGTGCTCTGTGGGTTTCTCTGTCTTCACAGGGAGGGGGGTAGGTTTTCACACCTCTGGTGGCTCCCATGTGACTTGCTTTGGCTGAAAAAGGGGGGCTGCAGAAGTCCCCCAGCTGTTATTCACCAAAGCTGCGTTTTCTTCTCTGGTCATCCTATCAGGATGAAATATGGACACTGCTTCCCAATGTCCAAAAAGTATGATCATGGCATATGGCACAACAATGTGATAGAGGATGTTCAGGCCTCCTTCACAACCCGTCCGTTGCATGACCTTTATCTGGAACAATCTTTAGCAAGAGTTGATAAAAGATGAATAACACATAATACATCATAATAGTTTATTAGAACACAACCCATCAAACACAAACGGAGTATAGATAAAATGTTTCTAACATTATTTTTTCAGGGAGGATGCAATGAGTAAATTTTGCTGGGTTGTCCTCTTCCTTTCTTCCTTTTAAAAAAGGGGTCCCTTTTAAAAAAGGTTTTGCCTGGAATCACTGTTCTTGGTTGGTATGGTAATTCACTGTTAATTGTTACAGACTGGTCAACTAAAAATTTGGTTAATTTTGGAAACGGCACACAAATTTTCATATTTATTATGAGACATGTCAGTTAAGTTAAGTACATGGAATGTTAAAGGGTCCAACAATGTGATAAAGAAAAAGGCCATATTGAATTCTCTAAAGAAAGATTTGATTCATATCGCTTTTTTGCAAGAAACCCACCTGACCGATGATGAGCACAAAAAATATTGCAGAGATTGGGTGGGACAAATATTCTTTTCGTCCTTTTCTACGAATAAGAGAGGGGTAATTATTCTCATACATAAAAATCTTCCCTTCACTGCTATAGCTACTGCCAAGGATAATGAAGGAAGATATATACTTGTTAAAGGGGTATTACATGGAGAGAGTATTCTGCTAGCTAATGTATATGCCCCCAATGTGCAAGATGGAGGTTTTTATACAACATTATTTACTCAGTTAGTGGACTTGGACTGTGACAATATTATTTTAGCAGGCGACTTTAATTGTGTTTTGTGCCCACTAATGGACAGATTACCGTCACAAACTACTTTGACAAAAAATTCAAAGGCCCTTTTACAAATTCTGAAAGAGCTCAATCTTGTGGATACCTGGCGATACTACAACCCATTGTCTAAACAATATACATTTCACTCTCAGCCACACTTGTCGGCATCTCGTATAGATTACATTTTTGTATCCAAAAGTATTTGTCAGCTAGTTACACAGGTGAATATAGGCCCTATAGGCCTCTCTGACCATGCCCCGGTAGCACTGGTTATGCAGCCTTTAAGACATATTGAGCGATCAGCGTCGTGGAGAATGAGCACAGTATCTTTGATGGATGACAAATTTGTACGTATTCTAGATGAACAAACAACATTTTATCTAGAAACTAATGATAGTGAGAATATTGATTCGAGAATTTTATGGGATAGTTATAAAGCTTATCTCAGAGGTGTTATTATCTCATACACAAGTCACAAGAGAAAGGAACGATTAGCAAGGCAGTTAGAGATTGAGAATAATATTAAACAATTGGAAAATCAATTCTACTGTACTAAATCTACAGAAACATTAAATGAGCTTAAAAGCGCTAGGACAGCTCTCCAAAATCTAATAATGCATAAGGCTGAGAAAGATATTCTTTTTGCTAAACAAAGACTTTTTGAATCGGCTAATAAACCTAACCGATATTTGGCTCATCTTGCAAAAAATGTCCCTGCAAAATCTTTTATCACGGCGATTGTTGATTCTAACGGTCAGAGACAAATGGAAAATCGTAAGATAAATGATAGCTTCAAAGAGTTTTACGCTACTTTGTATAGCTCTGAGATTGACATGACAAGCCTGTTATCCGGATTTTTCTTAAATGATGTAACATTTCCCCAACTTTCTGAGGAGCAGGTTAACTTGCTGGATTCTCCCATAACGCAGGTGGAAATAGATAAAGCTATACTTGCACTTCAATCGGGGAAGAGTCCGGGTGCAGACGGCTTTCCAGTGGAGTTTTTCAAGGTAATGAAGGGAAAATTAGGCAGCTTGCTGCTTAGAATGTTCAACAAATCGTTCGAGGAACTAAAACTACCAGAGACTTTGTACAGAGCTAATATAACACTTATAGCTAAAAAAGATAAAAATCCTGAGTTATGTTCATCCTATAGGCCTATCAGCCTTCTAGGTGTGGATTATAAAATACTCTCAAAAGTTTTAGCTCATAGGTTAGAAAAAGTTTTATGCTCGATTGTAGATGCAGACCAAACGGGTTTTATTAAGGGGAGGAATTCGTATTATAATACAAGACGCCTTTTTAATATTATCCATTACGTCAACTTTTACCAAATTCCAGGGTTGGTTGTTTCTATGGACACTGAAAAGGCGTTTGATAGTATTGAGTGGGAATATATGTTTGAAATTATGAGAAGATTTGGGTTTGGACCGAATTTTATGAGATGGATTAGAATAATATACAACACTCCAATAGCTTCTGTCTTAACAAATGGTCTGTTGTCTTCTCCCATTCAACTGGGGAGAGGCACAGCTCAAGGTAGTCCACTCTCACCACTCTTGTTTGCTCTGGCCATTGAGCCTCTTGCTATGGCCATTAGACAAAATCCAGATGTTCATGGGGTCAAAATTGGGGAAAAAGAGCACAAAATTCTGCTTTATGCAGATGACGTTCTTCTGACATTGACAAATCCAACTGATTCATTACCCGCTGTGATTAAATGTATTAAGGATTTTGGTCACATATCTGGATATAAAGTGAACTTTGATAAATCTGTTATAATGACCTTGAACAGCTTGGCGGGGGATAGGGAACCTGCATATATTAAACCTTTCGGATGGGCCCCATCAGGATTTGTATTCTTAGGAATCAAAGTTACACCAACCATTAACCAAGTGTATAAGCAAAATATCGATGGACTGACTCGTGGTTTGTGTGAGATGCTGACAAGATGGAGGGCTCTTCCAATATCATTTTTGGGGAGGATAAATCTTGTTAAGATGGTCATCCTTCCTAAAATAATATATCCCACAGCCATGCTGTTTGTAATTTTGAAATCAGAAGACATTAAGGTTATCAATAAAGCAATGGTAGACTTCATCTGGGCAGGAAGAAAACCCAAAATTAAATTAGAGATATTACAACTTCCCAGAGCTTTAGGGGGGTGGGGGTTACCAAACATTGAAAATTATACTCTATCTGTACAAGCCAGGATCATTTCTGCCTGGATACATGGACACCCTGATTCACCTTGGCTCAACATTGAAACATCATTATGTAAATCCTGCTCACCTGCTAACATGTTAGGAAGACGGTTGAACGACTTGCCACAAATAATGAAGGATAATCAGTTGATAAGTAATGTCTTGTGGGCATGGGAAAAGCTGAGAAAACTGTTTAAGAGTAATCACCGGCTTAATATGGTATCAACACTTATAGACAACCCAGATCTCCTGCCTCGAGACATAGGCTCGAGTTTTTTGGGTTGGCATAAAGCAGGCATAATTAGAATTTCTGATCTCTTTGAACATGGGGCATTCAAATCGTTTGATTCTTTAAAAACACAGTACGCGTTATCAAATAAGGAATTCTATAAATATTTACAAGTTAGGCATTATGTAATGAAGGAAGCAAAATCATTGATACACCCAACAGACTCGTATAGACTGGAAAGGTTCCTTCTTGAAAATAGGGTGCACAAACATTTTATATCAAAATTCTATTCTGAGATCTATCAGCTAAATTTGGACAAACTGGCATGGTTGAGGAAATCCTGGGAAACTTTACTTAAATGTGAAATAAGCACGCAATTATGGGATAAAATCCTGCTCCTGCCATCTAAAATTTCTGTCTGTAACAGATTTAAAGAAATGCAGTATAACATTTTGCATAATGTATATATTTCTCCTTATATTTTTAGCAAGTACAATGTGGGAACTTCTTCAAATTGCCTCAAATGTAAAATTTCTGTGGGCACCAGGTTTCACTGTTTGTGGGAATGTGATGTCATTCAGTCATTTTGGAAAGATGTATGTGCCAAAATCAGTACAGCTATTGGTCAAATTGTGTCAGAAAACCCACTGATATGTTTGCTGGGACATATTCCTAAATCACTAGTAAAATATGAGCATGTTATACAGTCACTGTTAATGTTAGCAAGGAAGGCCATTATGGTGAAATGGGTGGGTAGTGAACCCCCCCTCCATTTCTTTATGGAAATCGTTAATAGCTGATGTCATGACTCTGATTAGACTTGGACATTACATGGATGGAAGCCTTCAATTCTTTACAAACACCTGGAGGAGACCACTGGAAACACTGGGAGTGGAATGTAAAATGGACTCTAACGGACAACTGCTATGGACATAGAACTCATGGATGGACTCTTGTATATACATGTGAGATGTAGTGCTGATATTGTTTTTGATTTTTGACCAGTCTTCTACGAAGTTTGTATGTTTGGGAGAAATTAAATAAAAGTTAAAAAAAAAAAAAAAAAAAAAAAAAAAAAGGGGTCCCTCAAGGATCTGTCCTCAGTCCACTGCTGTTTTTAATCTATATTAATTATCTCTGTCATAATGTGTCAAACTCCTCTTTTTAAAAGTTTGCAATGTCCACATTTTATTTAATGCACAGATGGGAAAACACATGCTGAACAAAACAGCGACAAATATAATATTTTTAATAAATCTTTATAATTTCATTCCAACTTAAATATTCTTCTCATAAAACAAAATAGTTCCTAGTTACAATGCATTCAACTATAAAATACAATGCAAAATAAAGACCTCAAACACTCTAGACCCAGAACTTCTCCTTAAAAAAGCTCTTGTTTGAGAAAATATTATGGAGCTATTAAATAGACATTTAAAAGATTCTAAAGAAAGTATTACTGATTTATTACTTATTCCCCGGAGCAGTCTTAAAATTGAACATGCCTTATACCATTTTTACAACGTTGGGTTTTTCAGTGGTTTTGTGAAATGTAACTAAATATACTTGTTACGGTATTACTGAGCAGCATTATATTTAATGTTGTAGGCTACAGGACCTTCCATAGTGAATCCAAGATAGAAGGATATTTCTTCCCGGCTGCACCCACTGCGGATGTCTCCCAGATAAGCTGGACGAACAGGAATTTTTAGGTTTCCTCCATAGCTGACATATACTTCTCCATTTTCAGAAATTCCTTTTTCCCTTAATAACTCTTGTTTAACCTCTGGTTCATTCCAAGCGGCTCCACTCTGCCAAAACTGTTGCAGGGTGTGAGCTTGACCACTGCAGGACTCTTGTCTATTTAAAACATCAATCAATATTTGATCAAGCTTCACTTTAGAGACCATTCTTCTCAGTCCAGTGGATTTCCCAAGAAAGAAATGAGCTAAGGTTGTTCGGGCTGGAAACATGTATGAAAAGCGTCGTTGAAATGATTTCTTGGCTGATGTGATGTATATGCCGATATCTCTCGATTTTGAAGAGCTTTCCAGTTTTCTACCTTTAGTAGGCCACATGAGAAGCATGGATAGGTAGTACAGCTCTGTCGAATTTGAGTGTGTACCTTCTTTTTGTAGTTCTTCATCGAGAAGATCAACCAATTCTTCATATTTTTTCAGTTCCTTAGAGGATGGCTTTATGCTGTACATCACTATGTTAGCTAAGATAAAGTTGACAGTGTCTGATACAGATCTTTTAGGTGAGTTTTTGAAAATATATTTCCATTTTAAGAGGATACGCTCCATCTCTCCACCACTTCTGTGACTCAAACACTGTAAAAGTCCAGCAAATGAGTCTGCTCGTTTTGCTTCTAGATAAAACCTCTGTTCCTGTATCTCCTGGTTTAGACTCAGATTTGGGTTGCTGGCTTTCTCGGATGCTTTTTCTTGTTCTGAACTACTGAACATCTGCAAGTATTTTCTGAACTGCTCTGATAACTTCTTTTTGTGCCTTTCATCAGCCATTACCCTTTCCTGTGATCTAGGTCTCAGGTAAGTGAAGTATTTCTCAAAAAAGCTGAAAATCTCCTTCAGTCTTGGTTTCAAAGAGACCAAAAATCTCTCATGGTGGACCAGGACTTCCACAAACTGGGCAGTGGCAGTGTCCCCGGGGTCAAAATGTAAGCTTTTCATGCAGTGGTGGCCTTTGAGAATCTGTAGCAGTTGGTCTCTTTGATGTCTGTCTCTACTCTGTGAAAGAGGAAGTTCTCTGATGAGGTCCAGAAGGATCATCATAACCTCTGTCTCTCCAACATAACCCGACGTGTTGTAGGACTTTGGCTTCTTTCTGCTGTAACGATCAAATGGGTCTGCAAGTTCATCCTTCTTGGCAAGGTCCTGCGAATCTTGGAAGGCTTTTACAGCTTTAGAGCCCAGCTTCAAGCATTCATCAAGAACCTCAGCAGTGAGAGGTTTGGCTTCTTCAATCGTCTTCTTGAGTTGGCTCTTGTAAACCTGTCCTACTGTGTCTGCAATGTAAGAATTAGAGTTTTTACTTCGTGCATCTAAAGCCCAATGTAAGGCAGCAGAGAAGTCTCTTTCTTTGAGATAGTAATATCTTGCTAGTGCCTGTGGGAGTGTTGCACTTCTGTCAAACCTCTCTATAGCTTTCCCTAAAATTTCTTTGACTTTTTCTGATCCTTCATCTTCATCTATTTTTTCAATTAAAGGAGAAAACAATGTATCCTTGTCATCCCCTTGTTCTTTTCTGTGCCGTGAAACAAGCATGCTTTGAATGTGCAGAAGTAAGAAATCCTTTCCCATGCAGGACATAAAGAGTTTGTCACAGAGTAAAATGTCAATAGTTATTTCAGCCATGGATATATTGTGTTTTTGTTCAAGGAGCTGAAGGCAGTTACTGGCAATCATTGGGTGTAGGAATCGAACCGCTTGGTAGAAGCCATGCTCTTCAACTGTGAATGTTATCAGCAGTGTGGAATATGGATTCATTTTGTCCTCAAGAGTCTCACGTTTCCAGATGACATTCCTTAGACCAACTAACTCTTCACACAAAGAGAGTGACATATAGGATCCATTCACAAAGGTGTTGAACAAAGCCAGAAAGGAGAGGAGCCTGCCCTGCTGGGTGGTGGCATCAAGATCTTTAACAACATTGCTCACAATCTTTGCAATGTAATCCTCACTGAAATTATTTGTCATGATCATGAAAGAGTAAAAGGTTTCCGGCTTCTCATGGTCAGTTTTCAGCTGCTGAAGTTTAGCAGAAAATAGCTTCTGCTCTTTGGAGGACAGCTTGTTGGTTAAGAATATATTAGGAAAATTACTACTTCTTGAGCTCTCAACAGGAAACTGAGTTCTCTCACAGTTCAGTATAATGACCATAAGAGTGTTCTGCTGCATTCTCTCACCAGCACAACTGAGGATACATTGCTTAAGGTCCTCAACATCCTCCCAGTTGTCCACCAAGAGGAGGACTGGTGTGTAGCCTGGCTGATCCTGCTTTCCATATATGAGCAGATTAATGACTTGAGTAGCAATGTCATTATTTCTTGCTCTGTTGTTTTTTACAACAGCACATCTGAATTTTCTCCTTAAGCTCCAAAGAACATGCATTGCAAGAGTTGTTCCTCCACATCCTGGGGCGTGGAAGAGGTTGATCATGACACATGGAGATGTGTAGCTGTCGACAGGTGTGATCAGGTTATACAACTCATCATATTTGTCTCGCTTGATGAATGGCAGACTGCCTCTCTGTTCAGAGAAGTGAAAGTTCCACCATCTTACTTGTCCTCCTCTATAAAAATCCTCTTCTGTTTTCTTATAAAACTCATCAAAGGAAGCTGTAGTCTCAATATCTGTGTTTTCACATTCATTTTCACTCAAAATGTCCAACACTGTGAACAGTTCCTCATCTTTTATTGTCAGCAGCACTGAGCTTGAGCCTGTGGATGGGAGGTATCTCTGGGAAGGCTGTGTTTTCGGCTCTTTTAGTTTTTTTATTGTACTGGATATTTCATTCAGGCTCAGTTCATAGACACATTTATTGGAGATATCTTCCTTACAGCGTACGTCTATTAGCCGCTTCCACTGATTGAATACTTCTGAGTCTCTACAAATGCACAGCATGTTGTCAGTTCCCTCCAGTGTACGATAGATTGCACAGAACGTCTCCAAAATAGGACTTGATATTTCAGTTACAGCTGAATGAAGAACAAAAATGACCAGCAGTTTGTCTCTTGAAATTACATCTGGGCTGCAGAGCAAACCAATCATGTTGCTGATCTCCCCTGAACGCCTCCTAAACCATTCACTGGGTGTTAGTGGCTTATCTTTTTCGCTCTCCTCATTCAGTCGTCCATTGCAGAAAATCCAACTTGTTTGCTTAAACAGGTTAAGCTTTCCAATAAGTGTAGGTAAGCTTTTCTGATTGGTGTACAAATGTGGGTAGTGAAGATTGGCAATACGGTCTCTTCTGTAGGAAAGGCATGTTCCTCTTAAATCTGACTCTGGGTCAAACTCCAGCACAGCAAACAGAGATATTTCCTTCAGAAAATCCATGTGCTCCAGTTGGGCTGAATGACATTTGTCAGTAACTACAATAACCTGAATGGAACTCTCAAGAAAATCTCTTCCACGTGTTACTAGCTGCTTCAGCCTCTGTCCCTGGTTGCTTTGGGGGGAATGTTTTGCTCTGTTTTCCTCTGCCATCTTGCGGGCTGACACCAAGTTGTTGACATTTTCAGCAAACTTTTTCAGTTTTTCTTGACCAATTCTTGGATTGGTATCTGCTAAGATGTTGACTGACTGGGGACCCTGTCTGACAAACAGACAGTGAGTTTTGCACTGATGTCTATCCTTTGTTGATGTAATACCCAGGGAAGTGTAGAAAATAAAATCTTGTGTCTGTGAAGATGCTGGGACTACATCAACCTCTATCACAAATCTGTCTGAAGCTGTCCCATTTTGATGGTGAACTTGTATAAAGTTTGGTGGTCTGATACACAATCGAGCAACATTCACATGCTGTTCTTCAAAAAAATCCTTCAGAGATAATTCAAATGCCTCGTTGAACTTATTGACAGAGGTGATCCTATGGCCAACTACTTGCCCATGTTCTATCTCTGGTTGTCTTTTGACCCCAAAATGTATTGTTCCGTTGGTTCGTGAATTCATACAGCTGGCAGCAAAACTAAACACTTCTCTTGTAAATTCATACAGGATCTCTCTTTCGATTGTTTCATTCACATTTGGCAGGAGGCAGTACTCATGAACTGGGTCAATGAGATTACTTGGACCTGCCATTGGTGGAAGAATGTCATCTTCTACATAGAAGATTATGGAGTTGGTTTTATCAAAGGGCCGACTCTGACTTATTGCCTTAGGTGGTTGTAGATCTTCTAAGTTGTCTTTAAGTTGAGTTTCAATAAAACATTGTTTTGCAGTTGTATTCTGATCCATTATAGAGCGTATCTTTTCTCTCGCCATTTGTAACATTTGTACGGAAGAACTTACACTTTGGATTCCTGAATCTGATGACACCGTCTCATTTTCTGCTGATTCATATATGTTTCCTGATGTTGCTGCACTGGCCCTTACATGGAGCTCACTCTGTGCTGCTGTAGTAGCTGGTAAATATGTCTCTGATTGGTTCCTAAACTTCTTGACCTGCCTTAAGATTTGTAAAGCCTGTGCTGGTGGAACACCTAACTCTAAAAAGTCTTCCTTTTCAAAACAGTCCAGGCAAGCTCCTGTTAGCTCTTGGTCATAAAGCTTTTGTGCAAGTTCTTTTGATACTCTCAGTTTGGTAACCAGCCAGTCTTTAACTTGGTCCTTAGTCCAGTCTTTAATCAGTGGTGGGTGTGTAAAGTTGTATTCCTCCTAAAGAAGATGATATACAAAAAATTACTTTAGGATGCTTTACATAGACTTTTCTGAACACACATTTTTGTTATGGAGAGAACACCTACTGTTTTTGTTTTCAGCCCGGCACCAGGGAGAAGGCTTGGAGATGGATTAACATTACTGTAAACAGATTTTATATTAACCGTTATTAAAAAACACCAAGTGCATTTGGTCAATCTGCACATTTCCACACAGTTTGAATGGCAAACAACAGCTTTTATAACAACCCCTTATGAAAAAAATCCACAATATTTTCAGCACAAAGAGCAAGCTGATAACACCACACAACACGAGGAAGTAAAAAAAAACAGCCGTATACAACTTTATTAAAGCCTCTTCATGCCATTGGAGAGTGACAGTAATTTCTTTCCTGGAGTTTTTACAGGTTTAGCACCCCTAGTGGCTAAAAGTTACACAGTGTTTCCTTTAAATTTTGCATGGCATGGATGAAAATTTCTCCCCCCCCCCCAATAATGCCTGTTGTGCAGCAAATTTTATCAGATAAGTATCACTTTTACAGTATTATTGTATCTAATAACAACACAAACACTACACACTACTGAAATGTGGTGTGTAGAGGAAAAGGTAAAGGAAAAGGGGGTCTAAGAGTCCGTCCAAAGAGTCTCTGAGGAATGTTTGAGTTTAAAGACTTTGTACATTTAATGTTTCTTTTAAAGTAGCAGCAAAGAAATGTGAATAACACTGATGCCGAGATCTTATATGCAATCAAAGAAGTGAGGCTTCATTAAGTTTTACAGTTAAAACTGAACAATGACTCAGGAAAGCATTAAAATGGGGTAACATGGAGTAAGGCGGGGCTCAGCTAAAATAAAGAGTCCTGAAACTTAGCCCAAAGATGGCCACCACTACGTATACATGTTACCAAAGACGGGGGCGGTTTGGAGCTTGCAATGCTTTTGCAATGCAGAACATCCTATAGCTAATGCAGAAGATGCAGGCCGGGCCAAGCACTGATGTAGCACAAGGTAAGAGTCGTGTTCATCAAACTACAATGTTAGAGTGCAACCGAGGCAAGCCCGTCAGCACAGTTCTGTCAGTCAAGCTAACTTATCTCCTTGCTCAGTGGATTGCCAACAGCTGCCACCATCAGCTTGGTTGAAGATGATGGGTTGACGTTGTTCTCCAAGCGGCCACAGGTGGGCCATCTTACAAACTACCTGCGAGGCAAACTATCATGAGGAGAATTCATGACAAGCATGCCACGGAGAAAGACGCGAAAGATGAGAAATTTGCTTTAGGCAGGCTATGCCTTTAAATTTAGTTTTACCACGACACCACGAATGATTAACACAACATTATGTTTGTTACTTGATGATTGCTTGGGTGAATGTGGGTAAAGTGGGACGCTTTTTGAAAATGTAGATTCTGAGGTATTTTTTTGCCAATTTCATTTCTAGAGCTAGAGTTTCATATGATACAAACCTGTACAAAGACCTACCTTTAGTTATTATTTAGGTAGCACACACATACACTATATTGCCAAAAGTATTTGCTCACCTGCCTTGACTCACATATGAGCTTAAGTGACATCCCGTTCCTAATCCATAGGGTTCAATATGACGTCGGTCCACCCTTTGCAGCTAGAACAGCTTCAACTCTTCTGGGAAGGCTGTCCACAAGGTTTAGGAGTGTGTTTATGGGAATTTTTGACCATTCTTCCAGAAGCGCATTTGTGAGGTCGCACACTGATGTTGGACGAGAAGGCCTGGCTCTCAGTCTCCGCTCTAATTCATCCCAAAGGTGTTCTATCGGGTTGAGGTCAGGACTCTGTGCAGGCCAGTCAAGTTCATCCACACCAGACTCTGTCATCCATGTCTTTATGGACCTTGCTTTGTGCACTGATGCACAGTCATGTTGGAAGAGGAAGGGGCCAGCTCCAAACTGTTCCCACAAAGTTGGGAGCATGGAATTGTCCAAAATGTCTTGGTATGCTGAAGCATTCAGAGTTCCTTTCACTGGAACTAAGGGGCCAAGCCCAGCTCCTGAAAAACAACCTCACACCATAATCCCCCCTCCACCAAACTTTACACTTGGCACAATGCAGTCAGACAAGTACCGTTCTCCTGGCAACCGCCAAACCCAGACCCGTCCATCAGATTGCCAGATGGAGAAGCGCGATTCGTCACTCCAGAGAACGCGTCTCCACTGCTCTAGAGTCCAGTGGCGGCGTGCTTTACACCACCGCATCCGACGCTTTGCATTGCACTTGGTGATGTATGGCTTGGATGCAGCTGCTCGACCATGGAAACCCATTCCATGAAGCTCTCTGCGCACTGTTCTTGAGCTAATCTGAAGGCCACATGAAGTTTGGAGGTCTGTAGTGATTGACTCTGCAGAAAGTTGGCGACCTCTTCGCACTATGCGCGTCAGCATCCGCTGACCCCGCTCCGTCAGTTTACGTGGCCTACCACTTCGTGGCTGAGTTGCTGTCGTTCCCAAACACTTCCATTTTCTTATAATACAGCTGACAGTTGACTGTGGAATATTTAGGAGCGAGGAAATTTCACGACTGGATTTGTTGCACAGGTGGCATCCTATCACAGTTCCACGCTGGAATTCACTGAGCTCCTGAGAGCGACCCATTCTTTCACAAATGTTTGTAAAAACAGTCTGCATGCCTAGGTGCTTGAATTTATACACCTGTGGCCATGGAAGTGATTGGAACACCTGATTCCAATAATTTGGATGGGTGAGCAAATACTTTTGGCAATATAGTGTATATTAGAATCCTTTGACAGAATTCAAATTTTAATCCATTTTAATCTAGATCAATCTAGATTAATTCAAAGATTGATTACAGTGAGATTAATCTAGATTATTCTTACTGTAATCGAATGGATCAATTGTCCCAGGCCCAGGACAGAGGGGGGCCAAATTAGACACTCTGACCATTTAAAATACAGGCAGCAGTAATTTTTCAGAAAATATGTGTGAAAAATATCTAATATTAGAGTAACTAAATATACATATCACCCTAACATAAAATATTCTGACCAGTACAAAGGTGGGATGCAACTTTTAAAGTTTGTTTCGCTGCAAACTAAGAATGTTAGGTTTTCAGAAGTCCGGTGCACTGCAAAAAATTTCAATCTAGCTAAGTCATTTTTTATTAAAATAAGTGCATTTGTTCTTGAATTAAGGAGGTAAAAGAGACATTTTGCCAATGGAACAAGAGAATTTACACTTAAAATAAGAAAACACAATTGCATTGTCTTATTTCAAGTGCATTTTATCTAATTATCTTATTTCAAGAGTAAAATTACTCATTCCATTGGCAAACTATCTCATTTACCTGCTCAAATTAAGGGTGAATACACTTAATTTAAGAAATTTTTACTTATTTCTAGATCGTTTTTGCAGTGAAAAAAAAGAGAAAAAGGGAAGATTTTATGATTAAATGTTTTTTTAAAACTGAGGATGAGTCAGGAACACGTCCAGGAACGGAAATGCAGAAGAATGATATTCAGAGCCTGGTAAGAAGCAATGTTTTTATCAATGTGATTTTAAAGTATAGCATCCAGTGTAGTATCTAGTGTAAAGGGAAAGCACATTTTCTTTTAGAGAAATAATTGAGCTTATCGCCAAAAGAGCAGAGAGATGGCAGAGGTCCAGGTGCATGGTGAAAGACAGAGCGGAGCAGGAGAGCCAGCTGAGGCGGGGAGCTTGGATGACGGAGAGAAAAGAGGGGAGCATAGCTGCTTCAGGGGGCGGGGAAGGAGGCGCATGTGTTTGAAAAGGAGACAGAGAGAGGCATAATTGCTCAACGACGGATCACACCATTAATTTCAATGATCCCGTGTTATGGTTAACAAAAATGACTGATTCGGATACAGTGAATGTTTGTGATAGGAAAAAGGAAGTCTGTCACGGAGATGGCGAATTAACTCCCAGCAGATTCAGAGGGCAGAGAATTTCCAAAGTATCTAACCTGTTCTAACTCCCACAATGGAAGGAAAAAAATGTTAGGGACTGGCTGATATAAAGCAGGTCAAAGGCCATATTTTGCCTGCCACGCTCGTTGTTCTCTTATGAAGAAGAGAAAAGATCAACAACTGCAGTAAATTCAATAGATGGGATGAAAATATCCAACATAAAATACAGAAATCTTTATGGAATATTTCCAGGGCAGCAAAGAAAATGTGCACACAAACATTGTTATTGAAAATGTAAGAACTAGCTACATATTTTCCCATCTCTACCTGTGACTGGATAGAGGTGAGTGGGCCTTCAGAAAAAACTACCTTTGCTCTAGGATGTCCCAGGAAAGGTCTAATGGACTGGCAATGTTGTCTATAGAGCATTAGCTTACCAAGAAATTAGACTTTAAAGACATCATAAATGACTTTACCACTGAAAAATTTCACCGTTTGGCATTTGCAGACCAAGTCTCACCACGTTTATGAAGAATTGTTTGGAGGTCAAAAATAAATATTTCTGTAAAAAGCAGATTATGGAATAAACTAATAGGCAAAGGAGAATGAATTATTTAATTAAGTTGACTTTTTGGTTGTGTATGTGTGGCAGGTGTAGAGGGGGGGCCAAGAAAGCCCTAGCAAAGCTGTCAGCTGGCCTGTGTACATGTATAGGATAAAATTATGATGCATATATATATATTTAATGTTGTACTGACTTCATAGACATCATCATATAAATCCCATGAAAAAAATAAAAAAAATGTATGGTGACTGACGGCTCAAACCTGAAATCTGGTGGAGGAAGGGACCTTGACTTGTAGCTCTTTAGAGATTGGTCAATTTGGTATGAGTGTCCTCCAAATATTTCATCCGCTATGGAGCTTGGAGAATTCCTGTTGAAGATATAAATTGATTTATTCAGTTTACTTCCTTACATTATCAAAAGACAGCATTGGCAATTCCTCACTGAAATTGCCAATGCTTTAAAGGCTAAACCACCCCTGTAAAATTCGTAAAATTATTGGTAAAATATTCATTGTCAAACTTCATAAATGAAGTCATTATACAGCATTGAATAAGCGCTAAAATGCACCTGATTTCCTCGGCAGATGGAGGTTAGCACCGTGGAAGTAGAGCCATTGAATAACACGCCAAAATATGTCCCTTCCGGTAAGGCTAAACCTCTTATGCTGCATTCAGACCGGGCATGTTTTCGGCATCAAAGCATCTGATTTACAAACTACGAGGGACGGCGTCGAGAGGTCCAGCATTGTGCCCGACTGTCGGGAGCGGCACCTCCAAGCTTTCTGGCGTCGTAGTGTCCAGGCATCGAAGAGTTTGATGCTGGAGTTAAGTAAATTTAACTTTTGCTGCCGGAGCGTCAACCAATCAGAAAAACTGATCCAGGGTTTTTTGGGGGGAAGACAGACACTACCTACAAACTGTCATCGCTTCTGCAGACATTCTGCATAAATAAATATCAAGGCAGTTAACACAGTTTGAAAAGAGCAGGTAGATTGGATTGTTATGTAGAAGGAACAGAGAGCAGCTCTGATCATTAGTGCTGCACTAAAACATTTTCATGAACTATAGAGAAACAGTTTATAAATACCTAAATTAACTAGAAATGTTAAAACCTGCTGATGAAAAATATGCGATTGTATTTTCTGGTTCTTTCAGTTTTTACCCCAGACCCTAAAAACTGACCTTAGCAGAGAGTTTTCAGTGGGGATTCCCAGCGCTGCCTGACAGCAGAATGCTGGAGGTCTGAAGCTCCCAACAAGAACTGCAGATTTTAGTGGAATTAAAACCCTGATGAACTGATGAACAGAGGATTTTTGGAGGTGAACTTTCTCACTTAAAAACATCTTAAAACTATTTTTCCAACTCATAAAGTAAATAAAGCCAAGCTGCTCTCTAGGTTGAAGCTACAGAACAGAGCAGATAAACAACCAGAGCGTCAGAGCATTGAAGCAACTTGACCACAGTTTGATCTAGCGTCCAAGTTTCTGCATTTAAGCGTTTTTGATGCTGAAAACGCATCCAGTGCAGTTGCAGCATTAGAGGGTCTATGTAGCAGGGGTGGGTCATGAAGCTGGCTGCTCATTGCTGATTGGTAAACCTATTTATGGATTTCTGACTGACAGTGAGCGGACAGAGAGAAGGTTTCCTCATGAGTTCAAAGGGAAAAGTCATCATTCAGTCAGAGCAAACGTCTTATGCTAACTTTGCCATTTTCACACTGTTGTAGTGACGTGTTTAATGTGTTTTAACATTTGCGATAACAATAACTAACACCTCATCCTGCCCTAACACCTCCCTGCCACTGAAAGACAGGATAGTTAAACTCACTATTCTAATGTCAGCCATCAGAGGAACACGATAGAGACTCAATGACTGTTACACACCTTCCATCCCCAGAGAAGTCTGGAGGGTTGCTTCTGGAGAAGTCTGACATCACAGAACAGCTTGAAGAAGTGGTGGGCTTCCTCTGCTCAGGATCCATGGTTGTGTCATGGTTGTGTATATATATATATATATATATATATATATATATATATATATATATATATATATATATATATATATATATATAAAACATTTATAAATTACCACGTTATCCTGCCCCCCGCTGCGCTCCAGACCTCCTGCAAAGCAAAGCCTACAGCCTCTGCTGTTCCTTCTGTATTGCTGCGCTCTGACTTCCTCTGGGCATGTGTGATATTATCATTAAATATGTAGGAGCAAAATATGCAGAAATGAACGCTTAATTTAATGACATATTAAAAATCTCCCCATCAGCATCCATCATATGTACGGTTTCTGACGGAGATGAGTATTACCAACAGTTTGCATCCAATCTTTTAAATAAACGACGGTAGTTTTTTTTTTATTTGGAGTGACCGATCTGTTGTCACTATATTTTAATCTAACAAACCGGATCTTCTCGACGTTCTTTTTCCTGTTTGGTGCGATTGCAATAGAGGATCTTGACCTGAACGGACCTGAACATTTAGAGGATGTTTGGCTCAACCTGCTGCTGTGAAGCAGGATTCTCCACCATCAACAGAATCAACAATAAATCTGGATCCAGGCTCAAAATGAGCTCCTTGATATGTGCTTTAGAATGGCTTAGTCTCCATTCAAACCCAGGTTTAAAGCCTTGCAGGGCAGCCTAAAGCCCACTGCCAACATTAAGACAGAAAAAAGAAAACAGTCAGTTCAGGTGTTTTAAAAAATATGGGAATCAGGAAATTGTCTATAAACCACACTGAAAGATTGTTGTTCTCTACTTCAAAAAACACTTTAGATTTGAAAATTTTCTTTTTTTTTTCTTTTTTCTTTATATTTTTTTATTTACAAATTCGATGTATAATATGGAGGCATTAACACCTAATTTTATTTCCTTGTTAAATTCTGTTTGAAGTAACAGATCATTAAAAATGTCTCTGGACCTTTACTGGTTGATGATTTTTCTTTATTCGGACCCCACAGATTTTTAATTGGTTCCCCCTAGTTTAATGTTTCTAAATATTTATTTCCCGTCATGTGCTCCATCCAATGCAGATCATTGGCTCCATCCACATCTAGTGAAAACTAGTGTGATTGGATGAGTCATAGAACGCAAACACTCATTGGTTAGCTAAAGGAAACCATCAGAAGCAAGCAGGTGTTCTTCAAACTGCTAACGTGAATTGTCTATGCCATGCTACAATGTTGGATTCAGAAAAAGATGTTGAAATGTCTGAAAGGTCGGACACAGGCGAGAGCGTATCGGGAGACGGAGACCAACAAGACCTCCCTCATCCTTGGCCCTATCTCAGAGAATTTATAGAAATTAAGCTTTCAGTTCACTTAGTGGCATCTGGCTGTTTTTTAAAGGTTACTTTATACTTTAAGTAGTTTTTGGAGCGCACACTTTTTCACTTTTACTTCAGTAAAGAGGTCAAGTTGATACTTCAACTTTTACCAGAGTGTTTTTAAACTGCAGTATCTATACTTCTACTTAAGTAACAAATGTGGGTACTTTTGACACCACTGATGCCATTTAGACCAATGTTAATGCCATTTAGCCATAGAAAGTAAGTCAGTCTCTCCATTGAATATATTTCTTCAATAGTCTCTAACACTTGCTATGCTTGGGGAGGATGTTTTTAAGCCAGCTTATTGTTTTAGCCTTTTTCAATGCAATCATCTGAATTTTTCAGAGGTATCTATGCTTTTTTGGTAATAAATCCTTGGGTAGCAGACCCAGCAGAAAGATCTTGGGATTCTTAGGAACGGCATAAGCAGCAATGTTGTCCGTGAGCTGATAGATACTTCCCAAGAATGGTAGGAAATGTGTATATGTCTAAAAGATTTGGAGACACAATCTCCAACATTGTTTCTGATGCCCCTGAAATGTATTAGTAATATGAGGAATTATAATATACCTAATTAGGTTTTTCCTAACTAGTGGATGTTTGTTGGTTTGTTGCATGTTACACATTGTAAGCCAAGAACTCTGTCAATATTCAAAAAAGGTAAAACAGTCCACTGGACTTTCCAAGTTTGAAGTCATTTCGCTTCCCATCTAGGAAGCTTTTTCAATTCAAAATTTTTAGGATAATTATCATTAATGATGTGTGAGTTTATCACACCCTGGTATGGACGGCCTGTTGTGCGTCAGAACTGACGTATTAATCTATTTAGGACTATATCTCTGTCTGGATATACAGTTATAATCTTCATTTTGTATGTGGCAAAGATTTGGAATTGAGAGCGGTGTCCTATTTTGATGAGGCTGGAGGCATGGATGTCTTATCATCTGCTAATGTGTATGTTATAAAATAAGATGATGTGGCAGACTGGAGATGTATAAAATGTCCTTTTAACTGTTAATCGGGGCCACTTCCTGAGAGGTGAGCTCAGAGGTGAGCAGCTTCCTTCTCTAAACTCTAAGCAATTTCTCTGAACTGAGCAAGATTACAATTTCTATCAGAATTTGTTGACATGTATCCTGGTTTTTTGATACATATAAGTTATGAAGTGTTATTTAAAGAGTTTGTCCCGAGTTATCTTTTTTCAGGAAAAAGAACTGGAGAGATAGAGCATCATGGTGCAGACACAGAGCCTATCTTTAACAAAATCAAAATCTCTGACTACACAATTTTCAGCCCCGCTTCCCATTTTGATTTCCAGCTTTTCTTTTCTTTTTATTCTCATTACACTGTCACAAGTACAGAGCAACAAGATATTCTCTCTTTATTTAACCCATCCCCATTGTGCGTTGCCCAGGGAGCAGTGTGGGGTTAAGGGTCTTGCTCAGGGACCAAGAGTGACAGTCTGCAGCATTGGGGCTCGAACCGAGGACCTCTGGATTTCATGGGCAATGCCCTAACTACTATGCCACCACTCCCCTAGCATCATAAAGTGTTGTTGTTACCATTTTGTTTTTGTAAATCTTTTAAAGTTTCAACATAGTTCTAGTTTTGTAGGCATCGGTAAATACTTTGACAAGATTAATTTTTGGACAGGAAGCACTTTCTCTTACATCCGTGTTATAAAAATTATGTACCTGCAGGTATCTAAACAAATCAGTATTTTCTAAGTTTCTAAGATTTGGTATTAATGGACTTGTTTCTGTATTTTGGATATGTAATTCCTCTGTTTTCCTTCCAATAATTAATCCAAAACATTTTATATCTTTTTTTCCCCAGCATGGTTTTTAAAATGTCTCCTGTTGAAATCAGTTTCACAAACCAGGATATCAGAGAGCCGAAGAGGTATCCAAGAAGAATCCAAGCCGATGTCCTTAACACAGTCCAAGTCCAGAATCCAGGAAGTCAGACCAAATATCAAACTGAACAGAGCCGACAGGGAAAAGCCAAAAAAACAAAAATCGAGAGGCAGAAACCGGTCAGAATCAAAAAGACAAATCAATTACTTGACGACTAGAATTAGAGGCCATGAAGACTCTATACCAGACTATCTCTGAGCTTAAATCTGCACACATTAGAGGGCGTTTTTATCATTGGGATTTTAACCAGGCTAACTTAAAGACTGTTCTCCCTCATTTCTACCAACATGTGGACTTAGCAACTCAGGGCGAAAACACTTTAGACCCGTATTACTCTAATATCAAAGATGCATTCAGAACAGCCCCCCACCCCCACCTCGGGTCATCAGATCACCTCTCTGTCATGCTAATTCCTCCATACAGGCCCCTGCAGAACAGGGCTAAACCAACAGTGAAGGAATCAGAGTGTGGTGTGAGGGCGCCATAGAGAAACTCCCAAGACTGTTTTGAATGCTCTGACTGGAACATGTTCAAAGCTTCAGCAACCTATGACAACAACATAAATATAGATGAGTATGCCATGACTGTGTCACCCTACATCAACAAATGCATTGTGGACATTATCATCACAAAGAACATCACCACCCGAGCAGTGGCGGCTGGTGAAAAATATTTTTGGTGGGGCTGATATAGCCTAGTGTATGTCTCCAACTAATCCGGAATAAGAATTCAAATAAACAATTGGACAATACATACAATTTAACAGTAATGATTTAATTTACTATATAATAACTAACAGTGATGATTTGGGTCACTGTGACGGGGTTCTTTGGCCTCCAAGAATCCAGTCTCAGTCGGGTTACCGGTGTTGGTGATTTATTGTGCTCAAAAACTCAAAACAGGGTGCAAAAACAACTAAACATAAACAAGATCCTCTGGGCCTCAGCCTCCCTCCAGTTACCAGCAATGTAACAAAGAAACAGAAAACAAAAATTGCCGCTTTTCTTCCCACAGCCCTCATTAAATAGTTTAAGCCCCTCACCTCAGGCTCTCTTGTTTCTGATTTCTTCTCATTAATCAGTTTTGTCCATATATTACCTCCACAAACAATTGATGTACAAAAACAAATAATTTTTACAACTTAATTCTTTTACACAGATTCATTGACTTATTCAATTACACCAAACTGGGTTTGAACCCAGCAAAGACGCAGCCAGACTGAAGATGACAAGTCCCCATAGCATAAACACGTACACACCCACACCCCCCACACACCCACACACACACACACACACACACACACACCCCACACATACCACACACACACACGGCTAACCCCACTGAAATATTAAGTGTGCACCCTCAATACGCCAGCAGGTAACCAGGAACAGCTTGTGTGTTTAAGTTCATGGAGCTACTGGTCTCAGCGCGAGTGTATTGGTCCTCACAAGCACAGTATAACAGGAATGTGTGTATGGCGCGCAAAGTTAGAGAGGTTGTTTTAAGCGACGAGGTGGATTCGTCACAGTCACAATAACCATGACATGAAATGTTCATATCCTACAACAGGGATGTTCTTCTGGCAAACGGGTAGATAAATAAGGATCTCACCGAATTTGGTGGAAGCTGCATCTCGCTCGTTACATTCGCCATCTTCCCTCTAATTGTCTGCACCTGCGCTTGGGTTCAGAAGCCTGTTAAAGTGCAGTTTTTTCAGCGCCCCAAGACC